TGTTTCATTGAGTTGGGTAATACATTGCTGTCTTGTAGTCTCTTTTGAAACAATATTGCTTGGGTTATTGCTTGGGAAAATGATTCTCAAATGATGCACATGAGTGGTGAGAAGGATTCACATTTGCCTGATGAAGGCAGTGCAATTTTTTTTCAGGTTAGATATAAATTGAAAACCTTGCTTGAAAACCTGGGCTATATATAGCACATGCTGCTGGCAATTGAAGTCAGATGATTAACATTTTCTTTTTTTTTTCTTTTTTTTAGTTCATTCTTTCTCATGGTTATCATTTCTATCTTTTTTACTTTCACTCCTATTACCATAACCACACTTATGGGTAGAGGGATAATTCAAGCACACTTTTTATGCCTGCTGGTGGGACTTCAAAAATAGCAAGCACTAAAAGGACATACCGTAGTGCTGTAGTATTTTCATGTTTAAGCAGCTTAGTTGCATTTACTGCCATTCATTGGTTTGTTGGACAGTGGATATATTGATATGTTTTGCAGTTTCCCATTACTCTGACCCTTCCCTTTAAATTAATTGACAACATTTGATTAGTTTTTTTTTTTCTCTGAAAACATTTCCTCACAAATTGGATGTTTCAGAAATAGATGATAACAGAATATGTTGTGTTCATCATTGAACACTCACCCTTTTTATCATTTTTTTTTCTTGGAACACACTCTACCATACCAACTGGAAATAAGGCAAATTATTATTATTATGCACATTCATAAATCCTTATAATACATGAATGAAATGAATCAAAATGAAAAAAATTAAATAAATTTCACCTTAGCCATGGCCAGTGTGAACACATAATCTCTTGTCAAATTTAAGTGACAAACATCTTGAATCTCTATTCTAGAATAAATTGAGCATTCTCTTTTTGGTTGCTATCTTCTGTACCAAGTTCCCATTAAGTATATCTCCTGTTTTCAGGTGGTTCTCTGCATTCCTATCAAACTCTTCCTACACCTACATCACCATGATCTTTTGTAGTGTGATTCTGTAGGGTAAGTAGATTGGTGTAGTCTCTTCTGCACACACTCTGCCAGTCACATGTGAATTTTTGTCTGTGTAATGCAGCATCTAAAAAAACGTATTATTATAGTCAGCATTATGATTTAACGTGCTTGATGGAGCATGTAAGATGTACATTTTTTCACCTTTTATTTTTTACAGAAGGCATGTATGTGTGTTGGTTGTGACCGTGATGCTTTCATGGTTGTTTTTATGTGTTATTACTCCATTATAGATCAGTTCAGAAGGAAAATATTAAGTGTGGAATCCTGAAATGGTATCAGAAATACAATACAATGCCTTAGTAAAAGTAAAAATTGATTTTCTTGTTGAAAGGAATTGTATGTTTTTTCACAGTATTATGTACTAATTACTTTCTGCCCATGTTATTATTTATTTATCCATTTAAAATTTTTATTTATTTATTTATCTTTTACGAACAATATTTTTCTGAATTCTGAGTAATAGCATAAATGAAGCCATTCATTTTTCATTAAACGTACAGAAATATTCATCATTTTTTTGTTTGTGGCACTTGTATAGATAACAGTGTTTTGTTACAGCACTAGTGGAATTCATGTGTCTGATTGAATGCTGCAGGAGATCTTAAACAAAATGCCAAATGTTATAAGAAATGCCTTGTCAGAAAGTAAACTGTATTAAATCCCTCAAAGGTCTATTCTACAAAGTAACACGAGATGCAACAACTTGTCACACTCACTTTCCCATAGAGAATACTGAACACTGCCTTAAACATTTTCTCAAGATTGGCTTTCATGTGAATAATCTGAAACAACAATAGCTAAATCTTTGCTGTGGTTCTAAAGCTATTATTGCAGATAGAGACCATATTCTGAAGGGGAAAGAGTAAAATTGACTAGATTTAATGGTAGGAACCCTCTATCTAGTACTTGTACTGATTAAAAAAAAATTAGCCCTTCTGTTGTGTTTTGCATGTTTGCCTTCTGTCACTCTTTTTATGGACAGATTCTCTGTGTCCAAGCATAAAGCCAGTACTTGCCTCTTTTGTCACCATTAAAGAAAAACTATGTAACTTATTCTCTCAAAATTACAAGTTTTTTAGGACCCAAATACATTTTAAGTAATATAAGAAGACTTGATAGATCTGTTTTTTTTTTTTTTCTTAAAGTCTTTTGTGAATTTCTCATGCATTGGCATTTTTAATATGCATATTTGAAGTCCCATGGATATGAAGCCTTATGCTAGATAGGGTTTCTATTGTCCACAATGACAGCAGTATGTAGTAACAATTGATGGCGATTAAACTGCTCAGAATTATCTAATATTGCATCCAACTTGACAAAAACATTTGGTGCACTGTCATCTTTAAATTGGTTGTTCATCGCTTTTAGTTTTAATGCCACTGCTCGTATCAGCTATCAATTTCTTCATACTTATGTCCATTTGACAGCATTGCTGTCTTTTTTGAATGAATGACCTGTGTAAAGATATCATTGTACCCTAAAAAGTATCAATATATAGAGTATTTTGCAGAAATAACCCTTAAAAAACTGGCAAAGCAGCTCCTTGAAAATAATTATATTCATGTCAAAAGATGCTTATTAAAATTGAACAAAAATTGGCAGCGTAGCACTTGCTTATGCAGGATTTCCATAAAGTAATAAGATGGATTTAGTTTTGTGAGCTGCATGTTTGTCTAGCTTTACAGAAAATTGATGCATGGATGTGATTACACAACTCAGCAGGCAATTTGTTTGGATTTAGATATTGTTGATATGAAGTAAAACTGAGAATGCGCCTCCGTACTAAAGGCACTATTGTTATCTGTAACAATTCATTGTAGTAGTGCCTTTTTTTCCCCTCACAGATTGTTGTTATCATTAATGAATAATTATGAAGTAGCTGCATTGTAGATATTCAATTGAATTTAAGGTAGCATTCGGCATGCTTTCATGTTCTTTGCTATAGACTTTCATATTAACGTGGTTTTATTAGCTTAATGGCTTATTTAAGAAATGCTGATGATGCAGTATATCCTGTTGCCATGTATCATTGATTTAATAGTGGACAACATGGATAGATACTTGTATTTATAAAAGTTATATAAAAACAAGAAAAATATATGTCTTATACAAGTGCTATTTTCATCACTAGTGCAGTTTGAATTAATCATGCCAGCCTGATAATTCTGATCTTTTTTAAATGTCCATTTTCATTGAAGATGTCTGGTTAACTCTTTTCATATAACTCCAGAAAGGGTATTTTACTTTGCACAAAATATGTTACTATTGGCCATATACAAAAGTCCATATGGAGACTGGGGAAATGAATAAAAATTCTAGCTCACACTCACACTTTTACATGAGATAAAAGAGCATATTATTTCCATTGGATAATGTTGGATTTAACTCTGCTCATCTGTGTTAAAATACTTTTTGCATAAGAAGTGGTATATTGGATGCAGCCACTGACTTGATTTCCAGAAGTATCCGTCAGGTGTAGTGCCTGTTGGTGGCCTTTTATCACTACTTTTATCATATGGATGTCTAATCATTCTTCCATTTTCTCAGGCAAAATACAAATACATGGTAGGTAGATTTAGACATTTGCAAACTCTCCGAGATTCAATCCATTTAATGAGGCATGGAGACCATCAGGGGATTAGGGCGGCTTGCTTTTTGGTGAGGCTAGCCATATTTAATCAGTGGACCAGTTAGGCCACAGATCATCTTTTCTGAATGCACTCTTAGACCCCATTCCCACAGATTTTAGATCGATCTATCCCAGTGGGGAGTCTCACTAGATTACTGTCAGCTAAGCCGGCTTAAGCGTCTGTCCCGCCTACTAAAAGCTGTAAGGGGGTAATTATCTACCGTGCACGCTCGGCTGACATCAATTTAGCGTGAACCCCCAGGGAGTTAGGTCGATCTCGATGGATCGATCTAAATCTATGGGAATGCACTCTTAGATGTCCCATGCCTGATTGATACCCATGCTACCTTCTACATAAGGAATAAAAAAAACCATTCTAGAAAACAGCTGCCTGGCACACAAGTGAAATTGATCAGAAATTGAAGGTGGGCATTCACCTGTGTACCATCCATATAAAGCCATCACTGAGTGTAATCTTGTCATCTTCATTGCAGGCCATGAGGGAACAAGTGCACCAGCAGGGATCAGAGAACAGTTACCAGGGGAAGACAAAGCATCAGGCTTGTATTCAAATTCTGATGGCACCATTACACATGTGGAAGCCATGAAGGACGTTGGACCTGGGGATGTATAGATCATACACGTGTATTATAAGAAAATTTTTTCTATGATTGACATTTTTTAATCTCAAAAGGCTTATTGAATTTGTGAAATATAAGGACATTGATATACATGTGTATTATAGGAAGTACTTAGTTTAGGGCATGCGTACACACACATACACACACACACACACACACACATACTAAACACAATGAATATGATGATCAAAATTTGGGCACAGTAGCTTCCAGCTTGGTTGAACCTCAAGACATTTGTTATGGTGATGCTGTTTGCTCAAATGAAGGCTGGTCTGCAGTCTGGCCAAACACATATTTAACTCCATTACAATATGACTGTTACCAAACAAATGATAGGTAATCATGTAACCAAGAAAAGGGAGCTGATTCTTTTGTGTGAATCAAGTTATTTTTGCAGTTCTTTTCTATCGATGTTTATTTTCATAAATAAGTTAAATTGGCTTAAAGTGGATGCTTCAACTGTCTCACTTTGTGAGACAAAAAAAAAACAAACATTAAGTATTTTATGTATGATGTCTGATAGAAATGCTTTAGTTTTTGGCTGATTTGGTTTATCTAACAGAGGTCTCCATTCCTTTTTGATAATGATATGTTGTGTATAGTGAGGAAGTTTTTCAAAAAGTCTGGACTATTTTAGTGATATAAGGAAATGTAGGTTGCAGTAATCTTATACACAACACTAGTAGTAGTAGTGATAGCCCAAAGATGTACATAACTAACTATTAAATATTTCCATATACCTATATAAGATTGGAGTGTATAATACTGTGCTATATCCATCTAGATTTATGTTTGTTGATTTAAATATACAGACCAATTGAAAAGGATCACGTAAAAACAACATTTAAGATATCAAGGGATTCGGTCCTTTGCTAGGATTAATTGAGATTTTTGTATCTGTAGTAATACCTGTAAATCAGTTGGTTGCTGCTGCAGGCCCACCTTAGAGCAAAATGTGTATCTTCTTCCAATATAAGATAATTTTTTAAACATGTAGTTAACATATTGGAAGCCCATTGTTAGATTCAGTAACATCAGTTCAGTACACGGTTACAAACTATAAATATTGTGTAAATTTTAAGAAAAGCTCCATCAAGTTTTTAAATGATTGAGAAATTTATTTATTTGAACTACCTGGTAACTATCAGCACTAACTCAGTAAAAGTGAAAAAGGGTAAATATGAAAAGATTTTCTCCTTTTTCAATCAGATTTTTAAAAAGGAAAATGGTGGGTATGGAAATGTCAGGAGATATTTGTAGTGTAGCTGGCTTCACATTACTCTGATTACTGTATTTACTACCAGCTGCAGGCATATTGAGGATATATTCTGAGCCTATACTTACACAAATTTATGTAATTAAATTATTATTATCATCGAATGTAGGGTTATTGTGAAATCAAATGAATAACAAAAGTGCTTGGAAGTATGCCATTTTCCAATTTGCTCATATGTTATCTTGTAATAATTTTGTACCTGCAATCTAAGTAACGTTTCTTCAATTTTCATATTTGTTTGTTCTCAGAAATAGACATTACTGTAAATCATGTGGAATTATCTTATGGTAGATTTACACAATAAATAAGACTTATTTAAATACTTAGACTTGCTCTGAATGCGATTTCATTTATTCTGTCATTTGTTATCATTGCAAAAATAACTTAATTTTGGAAGTGCCAGCGTGGTTTTACGTTTGAATTGCCAATATTCAAAGCATCACCCCCTTGACTCCCAGATTTTAATGACAATTATGCTAGTTTCATACCAGTAATTTTTTCAAGAAATACCTGATAGACTTGACTTTCTTTGGATTTTTGTATAGGTACAGGTTGTGTAGTGACAATACTTTTGTATGGCAAAAAATTAAAGACAAAAAATGTACTGCTCAAAGTCTTCTCATCCATATCTTCTTGTCAAATTTGCATGATATATTTATATGCAAGTTGGACTTAAACTCCAACTTGCTTGGAGGCCATCCATTTTTATCTTCATTTTCACAAGCCTACAAAAAGTAGACTTTTTCCAGATCCCCCACTCCCATCACCAATTCAGAGAGTAAAAGGTGGAGATTTCAAAATAATGACCTTTGACAGCAATTTGGATGGTCATTTAATTGTTTTTCAAAAGCATACGCAGGTTAGTACATCCCCACCCCACCCCCCCCCCCACCCCCGTGTCTGCAGACTTATGAAATTAGGCTAAAAATGGATGACACAATATGTGATCCTCCAAAGGAAGAATGAAATCCTTATAATTTAAATGGGGTAGATTCCTCTTATTTTCAATTTTGTAGCATATTTGCAATTTTATGGTTCCAGAAGATCATAAGCTTTGGTTCTTCATTATAATTATCGACTTTGGACGAGTTCACCTCTTTGCTATGTTTGACCCGAAGCTTGAATAATATGGTTAAATATTGAGCGCACATGACTACCTCTCAACCAATCAATCAGTATTTAAATTGTGATCATGTAACAAAGAATACCAACTGGTGTGCAAATAGAAGTTTTTATTATTGATCTTTACCCCATAAAAAGGACAAAGAGGAAATATCAATATAATGCCCAAATGAAATTAAATGAATTTGCCAATACTACTCTATCATGAGTAAAGATAAAAGTTTGAAACACTATTTCAATGTATCCTGTATAATAACTATACAAATCTACTGTGAAATGTTTAAGAATGGCCAAATGCACTTAACACTCATCACATGCATTAAGCAATCATTAAATATTAATATGGCACAAAGCTCAGTAAATAATATGAAGGAAGTATAATGAATACTGGATAAACAATATAATAAATGTAAAAGTGCATGAAAATATTTCATGGATCTGAGTAATAAAATAGTAACATAAAACAATTTAAACAACAGCTTATTAAATGAAAGGCGAACAACACAAATTCAAACTACTGAGGGAAAGAAATACAATTCAAAGTCAAACACAAAATTAATGATTCTCACACGTGCTAACAAATGTGTAACATCACATTAACATCATAACAGTTTTAATATATTCACCTATTTATCATGGGACATAATTCAACAATCCTATATAATATTATTAAAAAAATAAAGTATGGAATAAAATATGGAAAATGCCTATAATCACTTATTAATGCCCTTTAAAATTTAACATAAAAATTTGCTATTCAAGAACATGGAAAAAACTGTATGTTTATCAATATCTCAAAAACATTCCTTAAAATGAGTGAATTTTTCAAGTGAATCTGCAAATAGTAGTGAATCCACAAACAGTAAAGGCAGATATTTATCTCATGGCATTCTGTGAAATTGACTGACCAAATTATTGAGTTAGGAAAGACTAATTACCATATACTGAATCACTGTAAACTGCCTTATTCCAGTTAGAGCGAGGTAGATTATTTTGATGCAAATATTAGGCTAGTAAGTTAGAGCAATGCTTGCTGACATGTGCAGCAGGCAAGATTTATTCAGCTTTGCTCAAAATGCATTGCGAGGACAACTTCCCCTCTCGCAACTCTCAAATTGGGTTGAAGATTCATTTCTGTCAAGCCTGCATTGCAACTATTGAGCCTACCAAAAAGCTTAGTTGACATCAACATTTTTCTAAATATAGCAATCCCTATTCAAAGAAGGGCAATACTTAAACATCCATGTGTACGTGCATGCTCAATTGTTCAATTTTGTATTTCTACAAAAAAATATTGAAACTCCCCCTTTCAGGAAGTATTCCTTGAAGTGGAAAAGGGAATACTACAGACAGATTTCATCTTTATGTTACCATTCCAGTCACTATTATTTCCCTTCATTATACGGATCATCAACTGCACAAGCTTGCAATAGTTTTTCCAAATGTGTTAAACTGCCCCAGTGTGCCTGTATAGTAGTTGTGGTTCCTGCTGATGTGGTCACTCTAAATCTTGTGTGATCCTTCAGTGTATTCTGTACAACAAAATACAATTATCGTGCCTTTAAACATATCAGCATCAGTTCTTTGATCTGCTGAGATACGGGACACTAAATATCACCCCATGAACAAACTATAAAACAGATTCCTTTGCAATAACTACTTCTCCCGTACCAATAGTATCCTCCTGGATGTTATCTGGCTGTTGCAGCGACCAACGTTTAATGCTTCCATTTGGTTTCTTGTTGTGCTGAGCCCCGTCACTGTGGTGCCTTTTCCTTTGCGCGTCACTCTCACCACTGGTCTTGGGAACAGTTGCTGTAGAAGTGCCATCAGTTTCTACTTTACTGATGGTTAACTGAGGGCCTTGACCACCAGGTTTGTTGATATTGTCTTCTTCTGTGAAAAAAAATGTTTAGAAATTAACTGGGCAAGTTTTAACCGATGAAACTAGAGATAAAATTACTTAAACTTACAAAAATATGCCTGTAAGGTGCGTCTCTAACCTCTCATCCCATGCACTGTTAAATGTCTGCCTGACATACACTGTACTCGATCTATACACATGCCCCCTGAACTAAAAATCAAAACTGTTAATATATCAATTAACACTAGGTCTGAAATCGGTCTCATAAATGTATACCATGTGTTAGACTCTCTTTATTTTGAGGTAACCCAGGGATTACAGAAGGAACAGCAAGGAAGCCATTCTTGGTTGTAAACTGCTTCTTGGCTTTTTCTAGGTCTTCCTCTTGTGGGGATCCTTTCCATGGCTTCCCATGATGCATCTGCCAAATTCCGTCTGAGTGGATGTAATACTTCAGGTAGTCCTCGTTAGCTGTAATTGAAAATATGCTAGAATGCTTGTTTTATTTTTAGAAAGCAAAATATACATGCACTTACAGTAGGTATCTGACAAATACTAGAAATGATCCATTAAAATTTAAAAACTGTTCTTGTGCACCATGCAAATGTTGGAGTATCTGTATCTGAGAAACCATGATTATGCATTATAATAGATGTTTTTTGAAAAATAAATTATTTTTCAAAATCTGCAAAGCATATTGCATGAACGTACCTGCCCACTCCTCTTCATCATCATAACTCTCAGTTGCCATGGCTGCAAACTCTTCCAACTCAAACACAGCAGGAAATTGCTGGAGGAGTTAAAGAAATAATGTAAATGTGATAACAAACTACAATTTTTCATTGAAAATGAAAATTGAAGGCACTGTAGGGGCTCTGAGAAAGGGATGGGAAGTGTTCCTCAGATTAGCTATCAAATAAAACATGCAAAGGAAAGCAGAAATTGCATGAGATACTGGGACACCCCTGGTCCATTGCTCTGCTATTAAATGAGAGACACCCTCTCATCCAAGCACAATTGTACCAGAATAATTCAGTATTTTATGCACACGTTGATGTGAGCATCATAATTTGAGACATCTGTATACTCAAAAGATATGCTTGTCCTGTTAAGAAAACTCAAATTACTAAGGCTAAGAATTGCTCTCATTAAGGTATATGTACATCTGCATTAAACATGTTACACCATGAAACACAAATATGTTATTTTTCAACTGCAAGATCACTTCAAGCAGCCAAAAGAACCAGAGTGCCATTTCTAATGTTAAATATCTGATGTAAGCTCATTTTTGTAATATTACCTGCTTATGTTTAGGGATAAGGAACATGATGGCTGCTCCAATTATTGGAGGAATTCCAGCATACCAAAATGAACTGTTGTATGATCCAAAATGGTCTTTCAACATCCCTAAGAAAAAAAAAGTGTTATTTTTAGTCACAAATAAATATCAAAACAACTGTTCAGAAGTTACACAAGCCAAATCCCCAATGCAATTTTGTGCATGTGTGCATGCTGCTGCATGAAACATGTTTTATTGGCTTTCTCAGTGATTAATATCCACATCTCTATATTTTATAACAATTTCAAAAAATTACCTTCCTTATACAGTACCTTTGATCACTAATTCTAGATCTTTAAAGTGAACACATTTACATTAAATCATGTCAATCACACATTCCAAACACTCCATTTCACATTGCTCTCACCTCCTATTGGTGGTCCAATCATCATGGGGACGGACATTAGCCCTAGCAGAAAGCCTACAGCTTGTGATGCTCCCTTTGAACCTACTAAGTCAAAGGCAATGGGTCCAAGAAGACAAACAAAACATCCATCACACAGCCCCATTATCAGGACAATTACCACAAAGACTGCAAAATGTGTAGCAAAAGGAATGCACAGGGTACAGATGCCTAGGACAACGAATGCTGCTTGCTGGAGACGGATGCGATTTACCCACTTCACGTCTGCTAGTTTGCCCGAAACCAAGCGGCTTACACCAGAAGTGCCACCCAAGCACATGATGAGAATTTCAGAGTTGGCACTTTCTCCAAGGACATCTTTCACATGTTTTACCTAAAATATATAAATGAGAGGTTTCAGTTTTTTTAATGTCCCTGCATCTACTTTGTAAAAGAAAGACCTAGAGCTTATAACTGACAGCCGCAAGTTCCAAAGATTAAAGAAGTTGATTCAAATCATCATAACACTAAGCTCATCTTTTTATCAGTATCCCCCCCCCCCTTTTTTATTAATCATGTTGAACATGGATAAGTACTCCTAAATTAATGTTAAAATAAATCATTAGTGCATAAGTCATCTCAGGTCTGTTAATAAAAGTCTAAAAGCAGGAATGCATTAGCACTGGAAATTTGGCAAGTGCTGAATCTGCACTGCACTTATTTAAAAGTTCTTTTGGGCTACTGCAACTAATGTTTATAAAAAGTATCCAGTAATAGGCCTGGCTTCCCATCAAGGTAATCAAATTTGATGTAACATGTCTATTAGTATGAACACTTGTTAACCACGGTCAACAAATCATTATGTGTGAACATGTTTGTGCAACTGTTTTGGAGCAGTGGACTGTTTTCACATCACTTTATACATTACAAGCACCTGTACATCCATTTAGCCTCCTACTTAAGTAGCCACTTGGTTACTGTACTGCTGTGTATCCTTGACTTAAAAATGTAAAGTGTATGCATCTGTGACAAATTGATGTATTTTTGGATTTGGCTACCATCTCCCAGAGAATCTTTTTTGTTAACCTACTTTTTTTGGATAAAAAAAACTCATTTCAAAGACTTTTAATCAATTGTCTTTTTTTTTTCTTTTCATAAAAATGGAAACCTAGTGTCCTACATTCAAAGCAAATAAGCAACTTACCAAATAGGCAAATGGAATAAAATATCCGAATAGGCAGACAGGAACTGCAATCACCCAGATAACATAGCCCTTCTGTCGCCAAATCTTTACATTGAGAAATCTGCGTGTCCAGCGCATACAGTCGCTCATATTTTCAGTAATGGTTGCTGTTGACAGGAATTGTTCCACTCCACTGTGTTGGGACTTTGAGGGGTGAACGATGAGGGGTTTCCAGCTGATGGCACAAAGAAATAATAAGGCAACCAAGGCAACCAAAATGTGGACAGTGTGTTTGAAGCCGATTGTGTGTAAGGCATGTTTGAGCACATATGGCAAAACTATGGTAAATATAGCACTTCCTAAGGTCACTATTCCGTTGACCAGACCTAAACGTTTTTTGAAGTAATGTCCTAATATTACCAGGGACGGAGTATAGACCAAAGAACAGCCTGTACCCAATAGTATACCATATGTCAGATACATCAGTTCTAGTTGTTCTATAAATGAACTGGCCAGGATGCCTGCAGTCGCAATAAGGGCACCCGCACATGCTGTGACACGTATTCCCAGACGATCTGTCAAAATGCTTGCAATCATTGACATAAAGAAAGTCATTCCAACACAAAGAGATCCAATCCAAGCTAAAAAAAAAGAGAAATGTTGATTATATATCAGTTTTACAAATAACCTTGGGAAATTTTGACGGAAAATGTGTATTTGTGATTCAAACATCTTTGTGTTCTTCACTGATAACACACAACTCTCCCTCTCTCTCTCTCTCACACACACACACACACACACACACACACACACACACACACACACACACCATGTCTAAAAAAAATTCTATTTAAAAAAAATTACTGACCTGTCTTTCTTACCTTCATTTTTTAGTATGAAAAGTATGCCTGACAATCGGTTATTTTGAGGTTCATCAAAATTCACAGAATTTATGGCATGAGTTTTTTTATTTTCAAACATTGTTATCATAAGAGATGCAAAAGCACAAGTGCATAAAGGACATTCCTTTAGTGTTTACAACTGAAAAAGTAACTGATGGCTGACATAAAAATCCTGCAGCTTGATATATATACTAATAGAGGTGGAAATCTGAGCTTGCTTCGAAAAAGAGGAAGAAGTGCAAGTTCTATTTTTAAAAGTGTTTGGAACTGGTTCATGCACCCTTCAGTAGCTCTAAAGGTCAAACTGCAGCTTGTGTAGAGTTGTTTACTCTGCTAAGATGTTAAAATATCAATGACAAAATATGAGCTTTACAACAAGTAAAAGAACTCCAAAACTGCTCATAAGTACATTTTGCTTCAAATACAACTTACAATTATGGATGTTAACAACACATTAAACCCTTAACTAATAAGTATTTTTCAAACTCCAGTTTGCTCTGAGTCGAGTGCTAAGTCAGCCACTCAGTACATGCAGCTTGAAAATATCAAAAGTTATCTAGCAGAAAAACAGTTTCTTCCAAATACAAAAGGCAACATTTTTGATAGGTTAAGCTGAGATTCTTTTGTGGTCATGGCTTTCTCTTATTTGGAGAACACAGCTGCTTAAAAATTTAATCCAGACAACTGTTGTCCACATCAGTGTTTTAACTGATGTATCCTGTTTTGAGTTTAAGATTTGAATATCATATCTTTAAGAAATAATTCCATGATGGTCAAAACTACCATTCTACTTATTGTATGTCTTCTGAGAAGCGCACACACACACACACACACACACACACACACATATGCAAGTATGCACGCACACATACATACACAGATACACGCACACATACACATGCAATCCATTGTTGACTATCCTCTACCAGGGCCACAGTGAGATTTTTTTCACCAGATATTCACATTTTCTCTGGCTGATTTTGTTCACATTTCTGTTCCGTGTCCAGTGAGAATTGTTCCACCAGAACGTCAGAAATGAGACCAACACCAAGTTAGCCTCTTGTAAAGTGCAATTATTGACCAGTGCTGGCCACAATGTAGTCAGTGTGAATACCAGTAAATAATGCTATCATTAGTTAAACAAAGTTTGCTCAACAACGGACCCCTTAATTTGCAGAGATAGGGAAAATATATGTGTATATTATAGATTTCATTTCATTTCATCTGAAAATTATAGACAATTATTCAAAAGATCTACAAATGTTGAAACTTACATGTTCTAAAAGTTGCATGTGGGTCATCCTTTGCGTATGCCTCTAGCATCTTAGGAAAAAGAATACCAAAATTGTTGAGAATTCCAAATATTGTCCCATTTGTCCAACAAGAGGCCAAGCATACCACCCAGCCCCAGCCCCCATCAGGGGGAATAAACTCCAAGTGGCAGGATCCTTTTGCAGGCTGTTCTTTATCTTCGGATTTCAGAGGTTCCTGCTCTGGCTCCACAATCTTGGGTGCATCTCCTTTCCCTTTAGTAACCATTTCCGTTACCGTTTTTAAGCTCCGTGAAAAGATAACAAGTTGCAACTAGCCCTCCAATTAGTGTGTCTCCATTTGTATAGCCTCACAACCTAGATGAAAACATAATTATATTTTACAACACAACAGCTCCTTTGTGATTTATAATGCAGTACAGTGTTAACCAGGATTTAGAACATGTGATACGTAACTATGTTTACGGTACATTTTTAGAAACTCAAACAACTGAGGCCAACCAATTACGTGCACAATTATTAGAAACGCAATAACCTGCGAATTGTTGGACAGCATTTACAGGCAGCAACTCTAAACATTTAAGGTCAGAAAATTTACCAAAAAACATTTTCTAAATAATCAATAAATGAAAACAGTTTTTAAAAACATTTATGGAATTCTTTTTCAGTTTTTTTTCCATAAAAATGTATGCAATATTCAAAGCAACAATGTACTGATCCTACGGCTAAAATTTCTCTTATCCCAAATCTAAAACGAATTTGATGAATTTCTTTGATCATGTATTAAATATAACTCTCTGCTTAAAAGCAAAGTATTATATTTAAAATGCTCAAATCACCTTCTTATGTTACTGACACACTGTAGACAGTATGTAGACCTTCACCTTTTTACATTACTGATACACTAGTGTAGACAGTATGAAGACCTAACTTTTCATTGTAATGAGCATCTCTTTCAATACCTTTTGGCCAACTTGGAAAATCGCCAACTCACTAGAAAAATGCAGGCTGTGAACTAAAGCACTGCCATATCCTAAATTAATCATTGAACTTGGTGAAGTCTACCGCAGAAGGTCAAATCAACTTCTGTTGCTAATGAACTGACACTGTCAATTACATTTATGACAACATTGACAAGGTATCTATACTAAACAAAGAAAAATAAAGGATTTGAAAAAATTGTTAAAGCCGTAAAAGGTGAATGTAACTTCACTGGTGGGGAAAAAAACTAAAATTCGAATACAGATAAATTCTTTACAATCTGAAATAGAAATCTTTGACCGCTAGACAACTTCATCGTTATCTTTACACCTGTTGACTCAACTGCACCAAGTGCAAACCCACAGTGTGTATTAGGAAATAACACTTGCCTGTGGTTCAATGATTGGGCTTGGAAAGAGAAAAAATATGACGAGAAACAGTTGAACATTTTTGTAATATTTTGCAAACAAGGAAAATATCAACGTCAAAAAAATTGTGTTAGAAAAAGGTCTATTATATCATAATGACATTGGTTTCTCACTTCTATTGCAAAAAAAAATATATCCTCAAAAATGTTTTAATATCCAATCATAAAAGAATATAAATTGCACTTGAAAAGAAAATGCAATCTAGTTCCAATTTTATTGCACTTTGAAACTAGAGCACATAGCGATAACTATTAACTTGACCAATATTATATCTTCATATCTGGAACTCCAATGGGTCAAGAAGATATAAGGTGCTATATATAGATAAGATGTCAAAGACAAGAGGTTTAATGCTAACAAGGTCAATGTTAACTACAAAAACCAAGCAGAGCTATTGCCATTCTTTATTGCTAACATGTGGTTCCGTGTGTGAGTGTATGCACGTACATACATGCATTAATTGTTTCTGAAAAAAAAAAATTCATTGAAAATTTTATACATGTCTAATTCCTTTCACTTGGAATGTGCTATAGATGGCAAATTTAACAACTATTTAGTTTTAGTAAAAGACATCTTTTTCTGCTTACATGTGTCTGCCATGTTCTCTTCAATTTTCTTAAAGATACATTGAAAGTTAAATTTTTGCAAAAAAAAAAAGAAANCGTAGGCTAAAACCCAATGACCCCAGAACCAGCAGCAGAGACAAACAGACCTTCAGTTCAGGTAAGTGTGTAACAGTGTGTTGTCTCAGGTAACTGTGTACCTTTATGTTGTCACAGGTAAATGTATTATTTGACATAATACAGAGAACAAGTGCAAATACTTAATATTTTAAGTGTTTGTCCTTCTCTGAATTTCACTTCCTAATTAATTATACTCCCTCAGTATATTTGAGTCTCAAACCAACAATTTGTGTAAGGCCTAGCTGCTGAGGTTGAAAAGGGTTTAGTTACACACATATATGTACGATGATGCAATGTAATGAAACGTAGGGAAGTGGTAGTCTAAAAGTAGGTAAATACAGTAATAAATACACCACCCCCCCAAAAAAAAGATGAATAAACACAATTACAAAGTATATATGTGTAAATAACTCATAAACTTGATTTAACATACAATTATCTGAGTTGCACAAACAGAAAATCTTTATGTAAATACTCGCTGTTAACCCAAACACTGCTTTCCAGTTAACGCTGAAGTGACAGACACCACAGTAAACTAAAATAATAAGGTGGTTTATAAACCAATTAAGTGTAATATCTCAAACTTACAAATTCTTTTATGCATGATAATGAAATTATATAACTAATGGAATCTTTCTGCCGACTGTCGCTGGCATCTGTGATGGATCTACATAACTTGCAACATATATTGGAAATTATCATGAAGAGTATTCCTATAAAAAAAACATTGACCAATTCCAAGCTAAGCTTGCTTCATACACACCACACAATAACAGAACATTGTTAACTAAGAAGTGTTATCAGTCGATCCTAACACAATCTGGTGCTAAACATAAGAAACTATTGATCGATATAAAATATAATACCATGAATGTATATATATTTGCTGCTGTGTCAGCAACAGGTGTTGATATTTATCACTTCCCTGGTGGATATGGAATGCACAATCATTAAAAAAATCCTAAGCATTTCAGGTTATAGTCAACATATACTGCAAGCTCTTTGTGCCAAGTATTCTGTGTACACATTTTCTGCCTGGTGATAGATATCTTGGTTGTCATTTTCATGAACTTGTACTGGGGGCGGTGGGTCAACAGGATGCAGATCTTGGTATAATGTAAGATCTACCCCTTCTTGTGGGTGCTGACCTGCCTGGTGATGGATATTCATGTCGTTATCCTCAACTTGTACTGGAAGTTGTGGATCAACAGGATGCAAATCTTGGTATAAGGTAAGATCTACCCCTTCTTGTGGGTGCTGACCTGCCTGGTGATGGATATCCTGGTTGTCATTATCATGAACTTGTTCTGGGAATAATGGGTCAACAGGATGAACATCTTGGTACAAGGTGATGTCAATTGCTGGTGCATGTTCTAGTTGTTCATTAGAAAGAGAAATATTCTGATAGTCATCATTTAAAATTTGTATTGGATTACCAATATGTGTTGCATTTGGTACAACACTTAAGGCCCCAGTGAAAAAAACTAAAATGATAATAAAGATATTCATCGGAATATTACTGCAGCCTTTGTTTTGCGGCTTGGTGTAACCTGGCCGTTGTGAGCCTAGAGATTGACTTTTATCACTTGAAATATGACCTGGTGACAGGAGCCTCTTTGATGTACTACCTATAAGATTGGTAGCAGAAAACTCATCTTCTGGATATGACATACCCTCTTCTGACAGAACTGTTGAAGAAGTGGCATCTTCCTGTGTTGGTATTGTAGTAGAAGGTACACTTTCATCTTTTTGCCATGGGTTGGGCCCTTCTGGCAAAACTGTTGAAGACTTGGTATTTTCCAATGTTGGCTTTGTTGCTGGAAGCAAACGTTCATCTTTTGAACATGACCCATCCCCTTCTGGCAAAATTATTAAAGAATTGATGCTTTTCTGTATTGGCTTTTTAAAAGAAGACATTCTTTCATCTTTTGAATCTGACATATCTCCTTTTGTTAGATCTGTTAACAAGCTGGCATATTCCTGTGTTGGCTTTCTGCTTGATGGCACACTTTCATCTTTTGAACATGACATACCCCCTTCTAGCAGAACTTTGGAAGAAGTGGCAACCTCCTGGGTTTGCTTTTTCGTAGAAGGCACACTTTCATCTTTTACATCCTGCATACCCCCTTCTAGCAGAATTGTTGAAGAACCGGTGCTTTTCTGTGTTGGCTTTTTAGAAGAAAGCACACTTTCAACTTTTAGACATGATATACCACTTTCTCTCACTGCTGTTGAAGAAGTGGCATATTTCTGTGTTGGCTTTGCAGTTGAAGGCATACTTTCATCTTTTGGACACAATCTCCCCCCTTCTGGTAAAAATGGCAAAGAACTGGCATCATCCTCTGTTAGCTTTGTAGTACCCCCTTCTTTCACATTTTTTAGCAATCTGTTGCTTCCCTGTGTTGGTTTTGTAGTAGAAAGCATACTTTCAACTTTTGTACATGAGATACCCCCTTCTGGCAGAACTTCTGACGAAAAGGCATATTCCTGTGTTGGCTTTATAGTAGGAGACACATTTTCATCTTTTACGCATGGCTTACCCCCTTCTAGCAGACCTGTTGAAGAACTGGTGCTTTTCTGTGTTGGCTTTGTAGTACATGTAGAAAGCATACTTTCATCTTTTGAACACGATCTCCCCCCTTCTGGTAAAAATGGCAAAGAACTGGCATCACCCTCTGTTAGCTTTGTAGTACCCCCTTCATTCAGATTATTTGGCAAACTGGTGCTTTCCTGTGTTGGCTTTGTAGTTGAAGGCATACTTTCATCTTTGGGACAAGACATACCTCCTTCTGGTAGAGCTTTTGAAGAAGTGGCAACTTCCTGAGTTGGCTTTGTTTTAAAAGGCATACTTTCATCTCTTGAACATGACCCTCTCCCTTCTGGCAGAAATGGCAAAGAACAGGCATCATCGTCTGCTAATTTTGTAGTACCTCCTTCTTTTAATTGTTTAATTGTTAATTGACCCACACCTATCTGGCAGATCTCTTGAAAAGCTGGTCCCTTACTTTGTTGGCTTTGTAGTAGACATTCTTTCATCTTTTGGACTTGACGTACACCTTGCAGAACTGTGGAGGATACAACACTTCTATCAGCTATCTTTTGTGTTATATTCATGGATCCTGTACTAGATTGATAAAATACCCCATCTATAGCTTGCTGTGGAAGTGAGGGAAGTTTATTTTGTCCATAGCTTTCAACTTTCATTTCTCTTATTTCTGGTGCAACTTCCTTATTCTTTGGAATGGATATATCAGTTTTCAGCGCAACCACATCTTCTGTTACTTGAGTAGAAACTTTCATGGCAGGTGACTCTAACCTTGGATGTGTTATGGTACTTGTTGAATAGTTCGTACCATCAAGTGCATCACTGTTGGCGGAGGCTGATTGAACAGCCCTAAATTGATGTTCCTTATGCTGAAATAATTAATCACTTGGTTGCATAATATGAACTATTAAGAAATATTTTATTTTTAAGAGTTTTTATATGCATTTTTATATTTGGATAGTTGTGTAGCCACCTGACATTGACAGGGACAACATGAGCTTGAGAAGTAACTTGTGCCTTTGTTGAGGCAGAATTCATTTGTAAAGTTTATATTGTAAAGCACTTATATTGTCATTTTAAGTAATTTAATAACTACTTTATCCAACCTACTTGATTAGGAGAAGTGTCCTTGTCATAATATTGATTGCTGCTCTCACGTTGGACTGAATATTCACTACTACCTGGTCCGCACACAGTCTTATAGCAATTGTCAGTTGGAGTGGGACACAAGAATGAAGTTCCAAATTTAGGTTGCTATAATAACAAACCAAGATGAAATGGTTATAATGCTGTTTTGCCATTTTTTACGTAGATTGTAAAAAGGACATGTGGTGTTAAGTTTTCACTTAGATCTGAAATGCAGTACATGTTTAATATTTATGAGAAACTGGAATTATTGCTTACCAGATGAATAGAGTTTATGTAAACAAAAACCTTTGCAGAACACCATTTTATTGCTACTAATAGAATTCCTTCCATTGCTTTGATAGGAAACAATATCTGTTGCTACAACTATTTTTGCTATAAATATTTTTGATTTATGAATATATATGATGGACAAATGCATCTTGAAATATGCAACAGGTCAAGCTGTTATTGGTTAATGTACACACCTTTGCTCTTTCTTTATCAGTGCTATCCCAAAGCTTTTGCTGTATCTTGTTTTCACCTTCACTGGTACTATAGCATAAAAAAGATAATATTGTTTATATATATTGATTAATACTGTTAGTCTGGCATGCCAAATGTTCATTTCTCTTTTGAAAAATATTTTCAAATGGTATAGACAAGATCACTTTACCACCATCCTGATATCTATATTATAAAACCATGTCCAAAACAGGGTATTGTTGAAGTTAAGATTGACAAACCATACAAATGTCATGGAATTTGCTAAGTCAAAGAATTTAATATTGGTGATGGTTTAAAGTAATTCATTCAAGAGTTTAAATATCAGTGAAAGCTTAAATGTATGGTTAGCAAAAACATTTGTCTTGGTTGTTCAGGTAATTTTGAATTTTTTTTTACTTTCTGATGTGACATTCTAAATGGGTTGAACCAGTGATACTCACTTTACTTCACTGGCACAGGCTTTAATCTGCTGCTCAACTTTTGTCCTCATTTGTATATTTAAGTCAGAAGGACTTACTCTTGATGTTACCTATTAAAATAAATAAGGGGTAAAGGATTTAATTTAAAGCTCAGATGTTTAGTTTGACCCCAGGTAGAGCAACAATGGAACAACTGTCTGGGTAGGGTAATGTGCCATGAATTTCGTACAGAAGAAATTAATTAAAATAAAGAAAAGATCATTTTGGTCAAAATTCATGAAATAAGAGGTGCCCAGAAATTCTAGATATTGGAATTTCATGAAATTTTGTCATTTTTGACAGGAAGTTGTCTGTCCCTCAATAGGCCTCATGTTATCTTTTTCCGACGATCTCTGTAGCAGTTACGATATTGTTTAACAGGTGAGTGTCATTAATTGCAACCCAAGGGATTCACAAACTTTCACACAATCACTGTGAGCGACTCAAGGTAAATATAATTCTATTCAGTTGAGCGAAGTGAATAAGAATGGAATTATTTTCTCCTAGGGGGCGACACTGTATACATTGTGTTAGTTGTGCTAGTGGTAAGAATTGTGGGTAAGTTACGACAGTTGTTCATTCGACCAGTTAGCGCAGATCAGTCTACACGTAAATTTTTGAGAGCGCAATTTTCAATGGAGACAGAGGGCATTTCCCTAAAACAAATTCTTGAGTCCGTACAGTCGCAGGCGGAATTGTTAAAAGACCTTAAGGCTCAAGTGACTTCCGAGCTGGAAAGTTTAAAAAGTAAAGTACATGGTTCTTCTAACAAAGTTAAAAAGATTAAAGACGAGGTTTCCACCAAATGGCGTCAAGAGGGCAACCGAATTCAGTTTGAATTCAATACCGAGCTAGAAGAACTTTTGACGCAGGTAATCTGGGCAGTAGATAACAGCAAACCTGACTACGCTAAAGAAGTTATCTTTACCATTTCCGATAAGTTGAAGAAGAGGAACAAGCTTATTAAGTTAGCTGATACCAGCGAAGGAGGGTGGGGCACGGTATGTTATTACGAAGCGAATCCTTTGGCTAGTGACTCTGAGGATGAAAAGAAGATCAATAGAGCGGAAAGCAAGGCATTGAAAAAGCGTAAATTGAGCAAACCTATTTCGAAGGGAAGTCATGGCTCCAGCAAATCTAACGTTAGTAGTGCTGATTCTGTTTACCGTGCCCAGCCTCTTTTTCGTGGACAACAATGGGCGTTTCCCCGTGCAGCATCAGGAGCAGTCAGTCCAGGTTCTTTCATGCCAACAGCAACCTCTTCCACTGTCAGCCCCTACGGACAAGGAAGGAGTGGGTCGTGTTTTGCGTGTGGATCCTTCGGCCATTGGAGGAGAGATTGTCCCTTCACTAAAGCAGCAGGAAGTGCACCAGGAGTTTCAAAGACCAGTTGTCCATGATTTTGTCAAAGATGAGTATTGTTGTGATGTGGCATATGATAAATCAAAATTTTCTGACGATTATTTTGAATACGAGCAAGGCAATGTAGATATCTGTGTTAAAGGCAGGCTAAAACGTAAATTAGCATTTTGGAAAAGTATTGGCACTTATGAGTTTATTCTTGATGTTTTAGATAATGGATACAAGCTTCCTTTTTTCTCTATACCTGCGCCAGTTCATTTGGATAACAATAGATCTGCTATTTTGCATAGTGCATTTGTTGAGCAGGCAATACAAGATTTGTTGGTCAAGGGCCTTATTAGTGAGTGTTCAGATGCACCTGTTGTAGTTAACCCGCTTACAGTGGCTATTAGCAGTAGCGGTAAAAAGCGTTTAATTTTAGATTTGCGGCATGTTAATAAACATCTTTGGAAATCTTCAGTAAAATTTGAAGATATTCGTACTGCAATGTTTTATTTAAAACAGGGAGATTTTTGTTTCAAATTTGATTTACATTCTGCATATCATCACATTGATATTTTTGAGCCTCACACTTATTTTTTAGGGTTTTCTTGGAAATTTGGAAATACTTCCAAATTTTTTAGATTTAAAGTATTGCCATTTGGTCTCAGTTCGGCATGCTACATTTTTACTAAAGTGACCAGGCCGCTGGTTAAAAAGTGGCGAGGAGAGGGCAAAAAAGTGGTCATGTATTTAGATGATGGTTTTGGTTGTCATTCGCAGTACAGCGAATGTAAGAAGATTGCTTTAGAAATTAAGCAAGATCTTATTAACAGCGGGTTCGTTCCTAAAGTTGAAAAATCAATGTGGTCTCCTAGTACTAAGATTTTATTTTTAGGATATAACTTGAATTTAGAGAAAGGCACTATATGCATTCCTGATTACAGAATTCTTAAAATTCGGCAAACTATAAAGGATATCCGATCTTTGTTTAGAAGAAAAGGCAGCGTTCATGTGCGTTTTGTTGCTAGCTTAGTAGGTCAGATCATTTCTACGTCTTTTGTTACTGGCAATATGGTTTATATTATGACAAAATGTCTGAGTTTTGATATTTCAAAAGCTAAATGTTGGAATGAACAAATTGTTTTGAGTAAAGACAGTATAAAGCAAATGGAATTTTGGGAATCTAATGTATGCAAGATTTCTGTAAGGAATTTTATAATTGATCAAGCTGTGCATTCTATTATTTACAGCGATGCTAGTGGAACTGGTTATGGCGGTTATATGGTGGAAAATCCTTTGGAGATTTCGCATGGAATGTGGAATAGTAACGAGATAAATTGTAGTTCAACATGGAGAGAGCTCGTAGCTGTGAAAAGAGTTTTTTCATCCTTTTTGCCATTCCTTCAGGGCAAATCTATTAAATGGTTTTCAGACAACAAAAATGTTGTTAGTATTATTGAAAGAGGTAGCATGAATTGTAATTTGCAAGATATTGCGCTTAGTATTTTTGAATTGTGTTTGTTAAATGGTGTGACTCTACGTGCTGAATGGATTCCACGTAGTGAAAATTTATATGCAGATCAAATCAGCAGATTAGTAGACTATGATGATTGGGCGGTGGCAGATAGTATTTTTGATTATTTAGATTCAGTCTGGGGGCCGCATGAAATTGACTTTTTTGCCTCCGATCATAACAATAAATTGGCAGTTTTTTATTCTAGATATTGGACTCCAGGTGCGGTGGGCACTGATGCATTTACTGTTCATTGGGGTGGTGTAAATGGTTGGTTTGTGCCCCCTGTGTGTATATTATCTAGAGTTATATTGTATTTAAGACAATGCAAGGCTTGTGGCACGGTAATTTTACCTTGTTGGCACTCAGCTAGTTTTTGGCCTTTATTATGTAAAGGCGGGTGTTTTATAAAGGAAGCTGTAGCATATGTAGAGTTACCGAGAGAAAAAGCTTGTTATGTTCCTGGAAAAGCAGGAGGTTTGTTTGGTAGATTGGACTTGCCGTTTAAAATGCTGGCAGTCAGATTTGATTTTTCTTAATAAATAGAAGTGATTTTAAATTACTAATTGTTTTTGTTTTTTACATTTATTTTTGCAGGCTTATAAGGATGACACTTCTGAGCTTCCTGACGAGTTGGCTGGTAAAATACCATTGGTTGCTGGATTTTTGTCTGAGAGTCGGTCATTGAACACAATCAAGGGTTATTATTCAGCTTTCATGCGATGGAAATTCTGGGCGAAGAAGAACGGCATTCAAGAGATTTTTCCGGCAAAAGGTTTTCATGTTGCTTTGTACTTGTCATGTTTAGCAGAGCAGTCCAATTCACCTAGTCCTGTTCATCAGGCTTTTTACGGGCTTAAATGGGCTCATGCCATTATAAGCGCAGAGTCTCCTACAGACTCTAGTTTAGTTAAAAATGTGTTGGAAGGTATTAAGAGGAGCAAGTCACAGCCAGTTTGCAAAAAAGAGCCCATATCTCCAGATATTTTGGAAAAAATGTTTGATGCAAATTTTGAAGAAGGGAATGTGTATTCTCAACGTACTATATGTGCTTGCTTGCTTTCTTATGCAGGCTTTCTTAGAGTTTCAGAGCTGTTAAATTTAAGGATCAGCGATGTTTCGTTTCATGATTCATACATGTCGATTTTTATCGAAAAGAGTAAAACGGACATCTATAGAGATGGTTCTCATATGGTTATCGCAAGAACTTATTCAAAGCTTTGCCCTGTAAAAAATTTAGAGAGATTATTCTCTTATGCGAATCTTGAGCATTCGGATTTGTATCTTTTCAGATCTGTCACCAAGCACTTCAACAGCTATCGTTTTAGAGATGACGATAAGCCTATTTCATATACTAGAATGAGAGAATTATTCATTTCCTCTTTTTCTCCTTTTGTTAAANAAAGGTTATTATAACAGATCTAATAATGAACGGCACAATAGCACTCTTGTACAACATGTAAAATAAAGGTTATTATAACAGATCTAATAATGAACGGCACAATAGCACTCTTGTACAACATGTAAAATAAAGGTTATTATAACAGATCTAATAATGAACGGCACAATAGCACTCTTGTACAACATGTAAAATAAAGGTTATTATAACAGATCTAATAATGAACGGCACAATAGCACTCTTGTACAACATGTAAAATAAAGGTTATTATAACAGATCTAATAATGAACGGCACAATAGCACTCTTGTACAACATGTAAAATAAAGGTTATTATAACAGATCTAATAATGAACGGCACAATAGCACTCTTGTACAACATGTAAAATAAAGGTTATTATAACAGATCTAATAATGAACGGCACAATAGCACTCTTGTACAACATGTAAAATAAAGGTTATTATAACAGATCTAATAATGAACGGCACAATAGCACTCTTGTACAACATGTAAAATAAAGGTTATTTTATAAAAACCGGAAAACATCCTACGGATGCCAGGAATATTTTATGTCATCACGGAAACATATACAAACTTCTCCCTTACTTATCTGCTTCAGTTGCAAACATGAAAACTAATTCTCTCTAAGTCAAGCAAGATTTTCCACAGTCCAGTTTATAATGTTCTTACTACGTGATAGATCAACTAGAATTGTTCCAAAAATACTAATTTGTTCAGGTGTCAAATTTACAGGTACGCACAGTTAGTCGGTTGTAATTTGGCTGAATCTGGACACGAAAAAATGATAGAAAATATGACAACTTTCTTCATATTATTTATGTTTCTTTTGACAGCGTTTTTTTCTCGAGATTGTTAACTGGAAACATTTCCAAAATCCAGTGAACCACCCAGACTAACAAGTAGTTAAGACCGTGTGAAAATAATAAGGATATTATTTCTTTTGAACTCGAAGAAATACGGAGAATTTGTTATAAACGTCCTTAGCGCAAAGAACATCTCGGTCATTATAAATGACACAGTTTCCATTAAATTTCGAATTAATACATGCTTCTGACAAACACTTACATACAAGTTGTATGAAACTCACAAAACCGGAAAAGTACCCGTATGCCAATGACATAGGCGATAGCCATTCACTGGTCTAAAACTATCGAGTTACACAAAATAAAGTCTACGTGTTTCCCTTCTTGTACGCCTTTGGTACTTGCTTGCTGAAAAGATGTTACTTACAAGACAAATTTATTTCAATGAATAGAATATTCGACCTTGCGACTTCACCACACCTATCCTGCGTCCTCTTCTTACACGTCCCAGCTGTGAAGTGACTGATCTGGGTGAAGATTTTATGCATTTTAACATTGTTACTAAATGACGGAATCCTTTTATTTATGAAAAATTATAAGTTCAAGATCCTAATATTTGAAAGACTTTGGCAAAAATTGATCATAGACAAAATGTATTTTAACAAATTATCACACTAGGCACAAATAACACAGCATGGGAATGCAGGACTGATATCTAACCAAGCCTGTCCTTCTCAATCACCCCTTGCTCCCGAAAATAAATCAAAATGTATAAGAATACAGAACAACTTTAATTAGAACGCTCCTCTGTACGTCGTTTTAGGCATGTTTTTTTTTACTTTAAAAATCAAAGCAAACGAAGTATTAATGTTTACGTACACTTAGGTTGAATATCGAAATTAGCGTTTAGAGGAACAAAACAATTTGTAATAACATTTTTAGATGATAATTCCGTAACTTTCTTAAGTAAGTGACCAAACGGTAATAATGAACTTTAGTATAACAGATAATATAATAAATCCTACAATCTGATTTTTAAAAATCTATAGATGTTTTAAAAGAATTATGAATTGATCATCATTTTTGAGCAAATTTGACAAAAGGTGACGGTCGAAAAATCCATTGAATCCTTTCAGATTACTCACTGCCTCCCGAAAATTGGGCTTTGCGACAGCTCAAGTGATTTTCAAAATATGGAATACAAAAAGCTTTGATTAATGTCAGTACAAAAACATTTTAATGGACAAATGATATCTAAATGCCATTTTCGTTTTTGTTTTTCGACACTTCTGTTTTGTAATAGAAGTCAAAAACGGCATATAAATGATCCCAATCCTGGGAAATTACTGTAGCCAACTATAGGAATAGTCTTCACATATGCAACAAAGATTTCCATTCTACTACTGCGATATTAAATTAAATTTTATTTCGGATGACAATCTTTATCCCACCCCATGGTTTAACTTTGTTTCAGAAAACAGATGTTTGATCCCCGCATAGCACTGAAAACACCGAAAACCAGAGGAAGTTTATTCACAACCACAGTGCCAGATTCATAATTGTTTTAAAAAATCGTTACAGTACATGTGGACAATTCTGCAGTCACGTGAGCACATTTTGCCCGTTACATAATACTGGGATTTCTAAAGAGTTGTACGTTTTATTAACAGTGTCTTTTGCAGATATATATTTCTTCCTTTTTTTCGACTGAACACGCGATAAATGTAATTAAAAATTTCCTATATGCATTTAACTTTACGGGGTTACCAGAAATCAACATGATTTAGAATGAATAAGAGAATATCTTCAAGTTTACAGCGAGGTGTCAAGTTGCAGATTTGCCCACACATATTTTCAGTGACAAATAGAAAATATTTCTCTTCTAGGAAATTAATATATGGTAATTTTAAAACAGTCACTTTTTCATTTTTATACAGACATTATTTCTGTTATATAAGAAATTCAAATCTAACGTTTCTGGTTCGAAAAAGGACTGGTATCAAACCCAACACAAAAATATACATAAATAACCCTCATAACACCATGATAGAGCACTATGACATAGTAATATACAATTACCAAAAAGAGCATACCAGCAACATGCGGGGTGGACGCTTAGTATGGATTTAATCACTGGGAGAAGTTTAATAAATAAAAAGCTCATTTTATGCGACTTTTAATTTGATATATATACGTTTTGGAGCAGTATGTTACAACACAAGGCAAGCATAAAATTCCTTACTTAATTTCGTCCCTGCAAATTAACGAGCAGACAAACGTTGGCATATATAGGAGGCAACCGTGAAATGGGTGTGGGGCTGCATGTATCGAACACGAAACGTGTCTCTGAGTAGGACGCTTCTGGTATCTTCGTAAACGGTAGTTATAGAGTCACTGGAATTAAAGGAAGAAATTCACATTCATGAAACAATGTTTAAACATCTGATGAAACAGCACATGTTCATTACAGCTATTTATGTCAGTTTCTTTTGCGTTATAATTAACAAATTGCAATTAAGCTTTATATATATATATATATATATATATATATATATATATATATATATATATATTGAACCCTCAAAACAAAAGGGCACCCAAAAGACACTGAGGGAAAGCTAAGAGAAAGTCTTATATATATATATATATATATATATATATATATATATATATATATATATATATATATATATTGAACCCTCAAAACAAAAGGGCACCCAAAAGACGCTGAGGGAAAGCTAAGAGAAAGTCTCCTTCACGTCAGTTAGATCTCACCATGGTCATTATGCTTTGAGAAATAATTGGGAAAATATCGTCATTGCAAAACAAAGAAATGCTACAATACATTTTCTATGATCTGTACGGAACTTACGAGATACTGCTGCCGGTTTCAGTGCCATCTTTTCGGTCTACATGTGGCAGTAGCAGTAATATGGCATGGGGCATCCTTCTCCATCTTCTACTGACCTTGGTCCTTCCTGAACACCTATCACTAACATGGTCACCTGATTTACATAATAAAGAAGTCACCTACTCTCCGTGCGGACGCTTCGGTTTGAATTATAGTCTGATTTATGAGCAGGCACAAAAATTCTCCATCTCGAAAAGAGGATTAGGGTTTGATAAAGTCATAATGACACACACAGACAGGAAAAATGAATAAATAAAAATAAAAACGCATTTTAAATGTCAACAAAGTTGATATTGCGTTCTCCTAGACAATAACCGACACTGCATAACATTAATAATAAAACAACACAAACAACATATAAAGTACATATGGACGCAGCGCACGAATTTTATTTCAAACCATCTTCAAACATTTACAAACAATATAAATAAATAATTAAATAAATAAATTAAAAACACGAGGAGACCCTCTCCACACCAAACCTCTTTATCATCTCTTCCTTTTATATATAAAAAAGGAATAACCGGGATATCACATCCCAACAACTCTTACGAGCTCATCTTTCCCTTACCTAGGGAATCACCGGGATATCACATCCCAACAGCTCTACCGAGCTCATCTTTCCCTTACCTAGGGATTCACCGGGATATCACATCCCAACAGCTCTTCCGAGCTCACCTTTCCCTTACCTAGGGAATCACCGGGATATCACATCCCAACAGCTCTACCGAGCTCATCTTCCCTTACCTAGGGATTCACCGGGATATCACATCCCAACAGCTCTTCAGAGCTCATCTTTCCCTTACCTAGGGAATCACCGGGATATCACATCCCAACAGCTCTTCCGAGCTCATCTTTCTCTTGCACAGAGATTTAGATATGTTTGTTTATTAAAGTGACCTGTGCTATAATGCAAGTAATACAGATACATTTTTTTTTCTTTTTGCACCCAGCCCCAGTGGGCTTATAAGTCACTATTTAATTTATATTATTTTAATATATTAATGATCAAGAAAAAAAATAGAAACAATAAATAATGTATAAATAAACTTAATAAAATATATAACATTAATTACATACAAGTGTAAATAATAGAATGTATATACAAACTAGGACGTTACTCATTATACATGAACTCTTTCCGTATCATATAGGCACGTTTTATATAATTACTAAATATTTTTATATGTTTCTCCATTAATTTTGCGAGTTTCTCTGGCAAATTTAAATTCAAAAAGTCTAAATCAGTTGCTGTTATTTTTGTCAACATTTCTTCTCTTATG